AATCCACAAATGTCCTACTTCATGGGGTAAACATATCACAAAATGTGGCTTAGAATATTATCATAATTTAATGTATAAAAAGGCCAGATAACTTTACAGTTAGAGCCCCAAGTACTGAAATCAGAGGACAAACTCCTATTGCTGTTAAGTATTTTTAATCAAGATTATTTTACTAGAATACAATGGAAGACTTTTGATCTGGAACTCATTAGTTCTTATTCTTTTCTCTAATATTGTTACCACAAGCTTTCTCTAGGCACAGCGGACAGGTAGCTCTCAGCTTTTAATGTTAATTGTGGTAATCTCGGTAGATATCATCACCTCTTCTCTTAATTCTGAATGTAGGCATAAAGTATCAGTTCAGCTTTCTACTACAGTAGCATAGTTCACTGAACTCTAGTTGCTTTTGTTTTTGTTTTTTTTCCCCCTTTTTGAATGACGGCTTCCTCTTTAAAGCTTCTATATATGTATATATAATCAGTAATTTAAAAAATTGCTTTAGAATGACACAGAAATATAAAACAGAAGGGTATTTTATTTTCTGAATGAATTAAAAAACAGTTAAACTAGAAATGAAACTCTTCTCCAGTTAAAGAGTAAAAACAAATAAAAGCTCTCTCTTGCATTTTTCCAGTTGCATAATTCAAAGGTAATTCTGACTTCATACTGAACTGAGATGGACATTACTCATTAATGTAGGCTTGAGTTGGGGTACAGTATCAAGACAAAGACACTTAGCCCTGGGTATCTACAACTGTGGGTGTTTTCAGACACAGCAATGCTCAATGCATTGCCTAATTGCAGCTTTCATAACCTCTGAGATGTACTAGAGCATCTGGATCATCTGTGTGGGCCCCACAGATATAACCAAAGAGCTATCATGAACTGTGTTCCTGTACTGAAGCAGCTGAAGGCCAGACAGTAAACTCTAGATCATCTCAAATAACACTAGACATCAAATTTCAAGCAAAAGGACATGAGAATTGGATGTTTAAAGTATCATTATAAATCAGTAAAGATCTCGCCAGCATACTCAATGTAGTTTGCAAATCTATTCAGTCCTTCAATTCACTCTAAAGTAGACACCTACTCACCAGTGAGTCGAACTGCTCTATATAGACATCCAAAGTACTTAGCCTCAAACCAAGTCCTACCACAAATGTCTTTTAAGTATACCTTTAAATTCATCAATACCAACATTGTTGCAACACTCAAACAGCAATAAATGCAATCCAGTTAAGTTAAATTAAGTTTTCTCCAGTGAGCCTCAAGCAAAACATATCCAACCAGATTCTTGTCTTCAACCCAAACTATCATCAGATAGTTTCATATCAATCAAATAAATGCTCATTTCTTCACAGAAGAGTTACTAAACTGTTGTTTAGCTTTATCTGACAAGATTTCACTCAAATTCACTAAAAGGATTGTTCACTCTTAGACTGCTCTGCAATAAGAAGCAAACTGTGGAAAGTGGGGATGGTCAGGAGAGCCACATAAAATGTGTACCCCTGATCTGCACTAAAATCTCAATTTAGATATGCAAGTGAATGAGGTATAACCCAAGGCAAAATCCAGATGCTTCTTGTTTAGCCTCTTGAGGCATTAAAGCAGTGTTCTGCTGATAAATGCTGACCTTTCTTTTGTCTGTAGTAATTCCCAAAGGTGGGAGGGTGGTAAATATGGATCTGGGGACCTAACAACAGTCTGAAAATAGAAAACCGTAATAAGATGGCCCTTGCTCTCAGTGATATGTGTTCCTCTATTACCTAATTCTGCCATCAAGCATCATTGTCTCCAACATATTATTCAAGGATTTTGAAATTTCAGGTGTCACTCCCTCTTTATCCTTATGCAGAGCTGTTCTTCTGAGAACTACAGAAGAATATTAATAAGTATTAAGCCAGATAACACCTATGAATTATGATGTTCCACCTTTCACAGATGGAACTGATACAGCATTAAAGTGACCCACATTTACTGACTTTGTGAAACCACCTTCTCCCAGAAAAGATGAAATAACTCATCTTTGTGTTGGAAAATTACTGTGTCCTAAATGAACTGTTCTGCAATTTAAGGCATCTTATTACAATAATACCTAACACAAAAGAGAAAGGGACTTTTTCTTTTCTTTTCTGAATCAGATTTAAGTGATGTGTGTCACTATATTTCAAAAAAAAAAAAAAAAAAGTGAACACTAACACTAGCATCAGTCATGACTCTAGCTGCAGGTGAACTCCATTTCACACTTAAAAAATAGTTAAAATCCTAGTATGGTTTAAAAATGCACCACATATTCTCCAACCTGTAAGTCTAAAAAGTTCACTGATTTATGAATGAATATACGCTGAATTAAAAAAAAAAAAAAAATCTCAAAGCATTGCTGTCATCCTCAACATTATTCAGAACGACTTTTGGCAACATTTCATGCCACTACAATCCATTTAAAATTTAAGCACATGTTTTAAAAAGAAACAGTTAACAGCAGCAACTGCTTTTAATCATTGTGATTAGACAGATGACAAGTAAATCATTTCACCAGCTCACGTGGGAGGCCATTTTGTCAGAGAAAAACTTTCCTCTCTAACTGATTTACACATGGCAATCCTATTAACTGTAATAGATCAGCACCAATGTAGAGAACAGACACATCACAGGTTTTCCCCAATAAATAACTTCTTTCCAGGTGCCACTGTTCTTTGCAGATCTTACAGCTAGTGGCAGTACTCAGAATCTGTGCTCCCAAAGCTCCCTGTGGTACCGCTGCTTTACAACGTGGGCAAGTGTAATCTCAGCTGGGGAACAAGACCAGACCATAAACTAAGCTTTCAGCTGTAAAGACAGAGGGAGTGCTGCTTAGCTTTTGCTTGTTTGTGTGTTGTTGGTTTTGTTTTTTTTGTTTGTTTTGTTGATACTAATGTCCACAGTAGTCTTCCAAATCAATAAATCCATAAAAAATAATGGCATTTTCATTAGCTCACTTTAACTGCTTTAACTGAAAAAAAAAATAAAAGAAAATCAACTAGCCAGTAGCTTTGGGCTGCTTTGTTAATAACCAGTGGAAGGGTGAAACTGCCCCCAGCTGTTAACATCTGAAAAATCATTTAAGGGTGCATAACTTCAAAATATTAATAATTACATGGCAGCATGGGGTATGCTTACTTAATAGACCTTAAAGAAATTAGATAAGAATTCCTGAAGATGTACATGTAAGGCTTCCTTGCAGTGAAAGTATGTGAGATGGGAACGCAGGAGATCCTCATCTGGAATTGACTACACAACACAGAAAATTTTATCCAAATATTCTTTAGTGGAATCTGCAGCTTTTTGCCTCATCTTGGAAACATAGTCATGCAGATAAGGCAGTATTAAATGGATCACTGCTGCCTCTGGAAAGAAAGATAAGTTAGCCTTTGGTGTTTAAATATTCTCTTTCTGACAGCTGTTCCTCTTTCTCACAAACTTCCTCTGCCAAGTTAAGATTATTTGGGATTGACAAGTTTCTGCTTTGGAGGAAACAAGATCTTTTCTCTGATAGGACGCTGGAAATGGATGCTTAAGATATACAGATAACAATCTGTCAGGAGTATTATATAGCTTGAGGAAGTCTCCGGGGAATGGTATCAAGTCACATGAATACCCACATATGCCTGACACTATTTATGAATCTGTATTATTCCAGAAGACACCAAGAAAAGAAAATCTTTCTGTCATACGCTGCAACTCTCATGAGAAAAAAACAGTTCTGCTTCCTACACTGCATAAGGGTTCACATAAAACAGTAGAAGGAGACAGGAGAGTGAGGCAGGAGTAGCTAAAAGGGTAATCTGTAGAAATTCACACAAAGGAATGGTAAGACCCAGTGAAAGTATAAGCATCTGATATTTTCAAAAAATAAATATTCTCAATAAATTAATAAAATAAATAACGATCCTAAGATCATTAATTATTCCATAAGCAACATCAGCTCATCAGCTGCACATGGCATATCTGGGTTGCCAGTATTGATGCTGATCAACAAACTTACTGTCACATCCACAGCTGGAGACAAGGTCAAAGTTACAAATGGTCCCCAAGTCCTCAATGCACAGTTAGCCACCAGTGCCAAGTCTGCTGCTCTAAACACTGCCTCTGCTTTATGTACAGCCCTGAAGAATGCTTACTATCTTTTCTTTAAGTCTTACTGGTTCCTAATTCATGCAGCGTGCTTCACTAGTGAGCGTGTCAGCCTCATTTTCAGTGCAGGCTTTGGAGGTATCTGTACCTTATTCTGCTTTCCCGCACAAAGCAGCAGTGGCTCTAGTAGCACTTCTTGAACCCAGCACTACAAAGATGAGTTACAATTACAGGAACCTAAGTTTACAGAGGTCTTCCAGACTCAAAAAGCAGAAGGAATCAGTTAGACTCAACAGAACCCCACGGAAGTAAATGCATTTTAAGACTTAACTCAATTTTACTTTTTGTTTTGTTTTGTTTTGTTTTTTTAAGGGAATGCATTCATTATGTTTAAGAAGCAGAAGTCATCTATAAGAAATGTCACTAATTGCCATTGCTTCCACAAGTAAGCAATCAACACGATGCCCTAAAGTTCTGGTCCAGGAATATATTCTTTTTGTTTCCCCAAATTATGTACTTTGTTAAAATAATCCTAAATACAAACACATTGGGAATACATGTGTATAGATGCATATTTACAAACACTTGAAGATAACAGTTCCTCAAAAATTTATCCATAAATTACCGATAAGCATTTTCATATGTGATACAACTCATACAGCTTTTCATAGAATGCAGGTATCCTTGAACTCCAAAACTCTGCATTTATTGAGAGAAAAAAAAAAGAGACTTTAATTGCAAAGAGGTGTCTAGTCTTTGTGCAGCTTTTCTGAGGAACTGTTGCATGCATATTGCCATTGGCCACTTCTAATTCAAAGTTTGCTGATATCACACTGATTTTCTGTTCGAATACTTTACATAGGCCAAGGCATGGACTTGTGTTTTACCTGGAGTAATGGATAGCCTGATGTCCTGCAATATTAAAATAGAAGTCAGTTGTATGTTTCATCTCATCAGTATGTCCAGAGACTTCAATCCAGTGTGTTATTGGGAGGCAGTAAACTCCATCGACTACATTGCTCTCATCGTAAACACAATTTCGATCATGATGGGGCCCATTACCTAGAACAGAAGAAAGGACAACTGCAGTCTGCATATACTGAAAATCTTCCAAATGATCTGCAGGTGCTGTGAACTGAGTATTTAAGGCGAGCAGTGGTGTTTGCTACCTGTTCAGACTACATTTCTAGAACATATGATTAACAAATGAAATAACTAGAATAGCAGCACTGCCCCCCCCCCAAAAAAAAAAATAAATAAAAATAAATAAATCCAGCATTTCAATCACTTGTTGCAAATGATTTAAAGAAACATTAAAGCTGTATAAGTATCCCAAATTGTGAACCGTGGCACTTGCAATTTCAAGAATAATTAATTTCATTGAAATTCCTCATTTGATGTCTGATAATATTTGACCTCAGTGTTTAATGTTTGTGCTGTGTGACCTCCCTCTCTGGGGTTTAGCTTTCCATGATCCAAGGCACAGCTGCTTAACCTTGCCTCAGACTTCCAAGGAAATTGCTAAACTGACAGACCTTGGAGAAAATACAGAGTATAGCTATGCAAAACAAATGTAGGGCTGTTGATGCTGGAATTACCAGCCTAGGATTCAAGAGGAAAAACACCCACGTGGAATGACATAAAATCCCAGAGAAGCAAAGTAAGCAGGTGGAAAACAGCAACCCAGCAGCAATGAAGACTTATTTGGAGGAGCAGTGAAGACTGGCTCTCCTCCATCTGATCTGCAACTATCTGGCCAGCAAAGACTCTTCAAGTGTCGTACTGGGGATTGACAGCATACTAATGCCTAGCCTAGGAGCTCATTAAATCCTGCGTTTTATGTTTGTTAACTAATAAAAGATTGCTTTGTGCTCTTTAGATGCATATGTCACAAAGTCTCTTTGCACACAGGAAAATTGTCCAAAGTGACCCTGAGAGAGGCTGGTGCATCTGCAATACTGAGCAAGCACTCTTGCCTTACATGGCCTTGTGTAAAGTAAGAAACTTTTGTTACAGCTATGCACTACCTAATATCCATTACCCCTTCAACTTCTCTTATATCAGTCATCTGAGCTTTATTACAGGCAACCGATTTTTAATACCATGCCAGAGTGAGCAATTTGAAGTGAACAGGGTCATGTCAGTAATGAAAAGGTTATCTAGCCTCCAAAAACTCAGTATATGAATATTCTTCCCCCTCTGTTTTTACAAACTTATTGTAATACTAATTGCTATGCAGGAATTATTGTGCAGATCAGAAGTGACCTAGTCTAAGGTTTGCTTTTAATGTAAACTTGTTACATTTATACATTATTAATAATGTTAGAACATTTCTGAGTAAAATGAAGCCTGAAGGAATATCTTCAATTTCACACTGCACATAAATGCATTACCAGCTTCCAGGCATCGCATTTAGGGAAATTTCCTAGAGAATTTCATTTTAGGAGATATGAAATGCAATGATTAGAGAATAAGACTAATATTTAATAGTAAAGCTGAAACAAACTCCTTATTACCAGATGCAACGCAGCACATTTTACCATAATTGTGAATATTATTATTTACCAAAAAGAAAAAGAAAATACTAGGCAGAAAACTATTTTCTCTTTCAATAGTGCTGAGCCATTATGTACCATATGCAATGGTACGGCACGACTTTTGATAAATAAATCAGTCTTATCACTTTATTTTTATCTTACATTTCTAATTGCTCACACATTCTTTACCACGTTTAAACAGTATTTGAAGAAAGCGGTTTACTTCAACAAAACCTATGGATGTTTACACCACTTAACTGACATCATGCATTCAACAAAATCTTTACAGCCACAAATAATATACCTTGCCTTCCCTGCTTTATACTCTTGACAGCTGTAGCAATGCACATCACCACAGCCCTGCCCAGCCATCACAAGGCTGGGTCTGATCCTGACCCTCATCCACCTGCAAGCTCATATTGTTGCCTGACCTGTCCCCTGGTGCCCTGCTCCTAGATGGGATGGGGTATCCTCCCCATGCATTGCTTCCATTTGATCCTCCTCTTCCATCAAGGTTTCTGCATCAACTTTTGCAATCAAACCATGTTCTCTCCCTCCTGCCTAATTTCTCCTTTCCCCAAAGCGCGAGTAGGTCCTACAAGACAAGCAAGTCTGAAGCTTCATGCTTGCGATCACAACTGCGCCACTCCATACCTTGCATTTGCCCATTTACAGCTGCATCTGCCTGAGGTGCATGTACTTCTACCATTCACCAGTTCTACTGCCCATCATACTTCCTCAGCTTTAACTATTTGCTCTTTTTTTTTTTTCCTTTCTTCGCTATCATCTGTTCTCTTAAATAGCAGTAGCAGTAACCTCCTTGCCTTGTAATCTTTTCATCTCCACCATCATTCATTTCCTTATCTAGCCTACAACATGCACGCAAGTGAAGCCAAGAGTAAATTGCCACTAGGCATTTGCTTCATTTGTTCCCTCAAACAGGTTTTGTCAAATCTCATTCTTAAAAGCTTCCTCCTCTAACTGTTATTTATCACTGTTGATTTTTCTGAACCACTCAACCTCACATTCCTGCTGTGGCCTACAGTCAAATGAGCATCCCAATGTTTCTGTTTTCATTTTAATACTCAAGTAAACAGTAACAGCTTGCATTCATATCATCTTTCATGAGAATTACACAGCTCTTTACTTCTCTTCTGGTCTATGAATTAACACCCCTCTTACTGAAATATGATGTTTGTGCAATAGAACATACATGAATACAAAAACAAATAGGGTGAAATTATTTCAGAGACAAAGGGAAAAGGGCTACTACATCTAAAGGATTCTGCTATGGAGAACAACAACAACAAAAAAAGAGTATACTGAATTGTTCAGGATACTGAATGCTAAATTCCTCTTGCAAGAGTTATAAAAGAAGGCATTTACCACAAATGATTGTGATTTCACTACCCAGGTAATATCCGAAAGATCCTACTTCCCGAATAATATCTTCCCACACAAGTCCTTCCTGCCACCACTTGCTTCACAAGATGCATTATAGAAACCTTTTTTTTTCTTTCTTTCTTTCTTTTTTTTTTTTTTAAAGTAAAAACAGTTTTATCAGTTTACATCATGCTTCTGCTAGCAGAGTTTGTCACAGGAAAACCATTTATTTTTGGTTGTTATAAAATAACAATGCAAGGAAACAGTTTTAGGTGTAGAGCCACATGACAAGTTTGGAGGACTAATGCAGAACTCATCTATAATTTAGAGCAGCTATAAAACAGCTAAAGAATGAATTTTCTAAACTTTTATCTTCCAGAGTCATTTTATCCAAAAATAAAAGTCAGCCAATTAAACCAGCTTTTATTTAAGTTAACATAAACAATTTTTTAAACAGAAAACAAATAGGATCACATTTTCTGTTATATATTTGCAGACATACAACTACAAAAATGGGCACTGCTTGGGGCATGAGCAGAAATCATTACCTAGGCAATCTTCAGCTCTTTCTTTTCTAAACCTATCAGTATAAACCTTTCCTCATGAGTTCCCTTTGCATCAACCTCATGATGCAACCTCATGGACAAATGCTTAGTACGTCCAGGCAATCATGCCTTAGTGACTCCAAAGACCCAGCTCAAGACTTCTCAGAAGCACAGGAAGAGTCTGTGCCAAGAACAAAACAGCTGTCTGAGGCAGGATGAAAATTTGGTACACTACGTGAAACACATACTCTCCCCTCCCTTGCCATTATAGGCCAAGCAAATTATTTTCTGGATTTGAATCATTGAGGCGTGGGACTTCTCCATTCTTAGCAGAGAGAGTTGGGCAGGGTACTAGCTACAGGCAGTGACCAGCAGCATTGCGGACATAAAAGAACATCACCTCATCCCTCTCTCTCTAGTCCAGGGCTGTCTGAGTGCTATGGTTGGTTAGTCTGGGAGGAAACAGATCATGATGAAAGCAGTAGGACCAAGCTCAGCAGTGTCCAAGTCTTAGTGCATTGGAAATATCTTGGTGGCCTTTCTAATTTCTTACCTTCTGCTCAAGCACCAGAAAGAAAAGTGCCCAGGGCAGAAAGAAGCGCCACAGGACTGCATGCATGCAGAGTCTGGACATGTCTCATGGTTGAAGCTGCTTGAATTCACACCAACTTCTCACTCCACTTGGGCTTGGATCCCCACTGGATCTTCTAAGTGACTTTACTAAATCAGTCAGCAGCATTCCACACAGAAATGTTATGCTCAGCACAACGTATTATTTACTTATTTCCCAAATACACAGAGCATTTCATAACCTAAGTTACCAAAACTGAAGGTTTACTGCTGAAATTTAATCTCTGTACCTGAAGCTCTAAATTTGCTGCAATCCAATATGCTTCCAGGACCGCAGGTGCATCACATCTTTACCAGCAATAAGGCCTGCACCACTGGCCAGTCCAGTGTGGAAACTGAGCATATGGAGGACTTTAAATCCCAGTTAGAAGCTGGGTATTCTGGACTTCGCTCATAAAGGCATACTGCAAAATCCCTATGTGAGATACAAGACAAACTCTCACCAAAAGGAACCCTTTGGTGCATAAATACATCTTTCCCTTACACTGGCTAGCCTCTCCAAGCTTAGCCAAACATTGTACAAAGACTTCAAGATACTTTGAATAAACTCCCCATGATTCGATCAGTCTTCAAGGGCAGGAATTCATCACAGCTCTCATTTAAATGTTCTGCTCAGGCAAAGTAGCTGTGCATCCCCTTAGCAGCATTTACAAGAGAAGAGCACAGGTCTCAGAACTAAATGTCATTTTCTCACATGTTGCTCAGAGCACACAGCACCAGGCCACTGGGTAGGCTTACAGGCACGTTTTACAGGATATAAACAATTATTTAAGAGGAATTTATATTTTTGAAGTCAAGACAACATTATGGATCTTCAAACAGTTGGGAGAATTTTAATAGCATTTCATCTTTCCTAATGAGGAGACAGTAGTAAAGTAAAAAATAAAATAAAATAAAATAAAATAAAATAAAATAAAATAAAATAAAATAAAATAAAATAAAATAAAATAAAATAAAATAAAATAAA